AAGTTACTATCAACAAGACAAACATCAACAAAAACATTATTCGCAACCACAACAACAAACACAACACCATCAACAAACTCTGCCACGAGGTTTTAGTTTTAACTTTCGTTCAGTTTCGAATCTGTTAAATAGTGTTGCTCAAATACACAAGCACAACAACAACAACAACAACGTCTCAAACAAAACTCAAAGACAACAACATCGGCGTTATCCTGCTCGTAGACAACAACAACAACAACAACAACATCACTACCAACAACATCTGCATCATCAACAACCAAATCAAAAAGAACAACAACAGCAACAACAACAACAGCCTGTACAACGTCCAAGAATGTACATCAGTTTAGACCATAGTTTAGCATTCAACCTTGTGATTTCGGAAGATGAGGGTTCTTATTCCTGCACCCCTTACTCGAGCATCGGGGCTGGCAAGCAATCGACCACCACCACACTTCATGTCGTTGGTTTGTGGGTGTCGGTGTTGTTTACGGTGACGTCATTTTGCTGTTGATGGTGTTGGTGACATCAGTTTTTGTTGATGGTGACGTCATTTTGTTGCTGGTGGTGATGGTGACGTCATTGTTTGAGTTGGTGGTGGAGGTGTTATTTTTATGAACTCATCTGTTGCAAACGGTTGTAACGTGTGAGTGAGTCGGAAATTCATCATAGCAAAGAATGAATTAGTGTTTATTTTGCAGACAGCATTTGGCGCCCCTAGTTACCCGGTGCCCTCGGGACCTCAGGCCCCCATCCAAGGCCATCGCTGGCAACCCCAACACGATTTTTAAATTTCTACTTCAACGCTGGGCATTTTTTGCTCCCATCTGTCTTGTTTACGTAATATTTTTGGGTTACTTTTTTGTTTGGGTTAATTTTTGGGTTATTCTTTTACTTCTAGAATTATTTCTTGGATCATTTTCCAAGTGCTGGCGAACAAGGTGATTATTTTTCCATGGACAATTTTTCTATAATTAAAGGACGGAAACCACTAATGATACATCAAACGAAGTTTCCTTTCAATGTTTGCTAAGAAATTGTTTAGAGAATTTAAAAAATGAAATAAATTTTAAACAATGAAAAAAATTATGCGCACACTGTAAAGAATGAATTAACGAACGAACGAACGAACGAACGAACGAACGAAAGAACGAATGAAGGAATGATCGAATGAAGAATGTTGTAAAATGTCATATAAAAAACTTTGGTGACGAGATGGTACTAATAAAAAATAACAATAATAAAAAACACTATTCTAAAAGAAGCAAATAACAGCGAGCCGGTTTAAAACGAGATTCAATATTCATAAAGTATGAAATCCCTAGCAAAAAACCTATCAGTTTTTCAATACATCTTCTGAGACAAATCCATTTTTTATTACATTCATTCGTTCGCCTTTTCATTCATTCGTTCGTTTATTCATTTTTGCTTTTATTCATTCATTTACTTATTCACATCAATCCATCTATCCTTTCATTTATTTATCCAGACTCATCCATCCATTATTATAACATTCATCTGGCTATTCATTCATCCATATATAAGTATATCCATCTATATATCTATCTATATATCTATACATCGATATATCCATCGATAAACATCTATCTATTTTTTAACTATCCATCCTTTTATATATCTATCTTTTCACTAATCCATCCAGCCATCAATTTTTTTAACTATCCTTTCACCCATCTATGTATCCTTCCATCCATCTATCAATCTATCAATGATCCTTATATTCTTACGAACTAATTTATTGATTCCTTTAGTTTGTTCTCTTTATTTGTTCAATGCTACGTTATCGTTCCTTTGTTGGTTTATTAGGCTATACATATTCTTGGATTGTTTGCACAATTTTTCATTCATTTATTTTCACTTGCAATCATTCATTCATTCATTCATTTATTTATTCGTTCGTTTGTTTGTTCTTTCATTCATTCATTTATTCATTCTTTTATTCGTTTATTCGTTCATTCATTCATTCATTCATTTTTCATTTATTTATTTGTTCATTTTTTCGTCCATTCATCTATTAGTCGACAGTTCATCTTTTGTTAATTTACTAAAGTAAATATTGTTTCTTCGTCGAGTCATTTCCGTCTTCTTGCACGGGCATAACTTTCATTACTTATTTTGAATAGTTTGGTTGAAAATTCTCATAAATTTGTTTAGTATTTTCAATCATTCATTTACACATTTATTCATCTTTCCATCCATTCATTCATTCGTTTTTCTTTCAAACGTTCAACCATTCACCTACTTATTCATTTTGTTTCCATACATCCAATCCTTCATACATGTATTCGTTTATTTTTTTTACCATCTATCCATCAATTTGAGAATTTCTTCATTCTTTCATTCATCCATTCTTCCATCCATTCAACCATCCATCTTTGTTTGATGACGTCACACGCTTCCCTTCTTTCATTCTCATCCCGCGAATTTAAATGTCGCATCGCTCTATTCTGACTGACGTAAGAGTGTGTGCGTGTGTGTGTTTGTCTGTATCTGTGCGTGTGTGTGCGTGTGTGTGCGTGTGTGTGTGTTTGTCTATGTATATGTATATATGTTTCAACATTTTTGTCTTTTCTTTTGTTCTAGCTGATAAGTTTCAACATATTTCAAAAGACCAAACATTTGGAATAAAGCAACTCCGTTAAGATATTTTGCAGTTGAGATAAAATTAATTAAATTAAAAAATAAAATAATAATAACAAATATTACCAAAGATCCTCCATACATCAAGAAGCAACTTCCGCTCTACACGCATTTCAACTCGGGACTGTCGTTTGCTAATCTGAATTGTGAAGTGGAAAGCCAATTGAAACCTGTGCATGTAACATGGATTAAGGTTGGTTGGTTGGTTGGTCGGTCGGTCGGTCGGTCGGTCGGTTGGTTGGTTGGTTAGATGGTTGGTTGGTTGGTTGGTTGGGTTGGTTGGTTGGTTGGTCGGTTGGTCGGTCGGTCGGTCGGTCGGTTGGTTGGTTGGTTAGATGGTTGGATGGTTGGTTGGATAGATGGTTGGATGGTTGGTGGCTGGTGGTTTATTTAGTTGGTCGGTAAGTTTTTTCAAATATCTACAAAATTTTAAAACCATAAGGAGCTTTTGTTAACTAGAACAGCAACACAGCAAAAACACAACTACTAATACAACAGCCAACTACTAAAACAGCTACCACTACAACTGCTGTCACTACAACTGCCACCACTACAACTAATACAACAACAATCATAGCACCGACAACAATGAAGAATAATAACAATCGGATAATTACCATAAATAAAGAAAAGCTAGCACAAAGCGTAAATGCATTGTGAACAGCAACGGACTATTGGTCCCGATTTAAACAATTAGGAATGTGGCCAGTTTGGCTCAGCAACAACAACAACTAATCAACCAAAACACAAACAAAAAACAACAACCCCATAGACAACAACAACAGCAACATAGACAACAATAACATAGACAACAACATAGACAACAACAACATAGACAACAACAACATAGACAACAACAACATAGACAACAACAACATAGACAACAACAGCATAGACAACAACATAGACAACAACAACATAGACAACAACAACATAGACGACAACAACATAGACGACAACAACATAGACAACAACAACATAGACAACAACAACATAGACAACAACAACATAGACAACAACAACATAGACAACAACAACATGGACAACAACAACATAGACAACAACATAGACAACAACAACAAAGACAACAACAACATAGACAACAACAATATAGACAACAACAACATAGACAATAACAACATAGACAACAACAACATAAACAACAACATAAAAAACAACATAGAGATAACAACAATATAAACATTGTAAACAACAGCCTAAAGAAATCACAATATAAAAACAACAAACACAAACAAAACATTAACATATAACGAAGCTAAATCGATATAAACAAACACCAACATGACATAAACAACAAAGACAATACAATCTACGTCACCATTTTGTGTATCATTTATATAGCGCTTTATTAGAAGACAAAATTTATCAATGAGACATTGAGTTATAATTTTCCAATGCGTAAGCCAATATTAATCAGTTAGTCATATCGGAAAGGGATTTATAGCAATAAATTTCAAACAATTATATTCGCTTCTAATCTTATTATTATTTATATTATTTGTTATTTAATAAATGATTGTAGATACGTTCGTGTGTGTGTGCGTGTTGTGTGCGTGCGTATGTGTGTGTGTGTGTGTATGTGTATTAATACCCTTAGTATTTGCATTATATTAATCACAAAGGCCAAGTCACCGTCGTTATTATTATCGTTAACACCGCACCAAATACATTATAGACATCATCATCATCATCATTAACCAGCCTATCGCCATCATTATCAGCATCATATCTTCATCGTCGTCGTCTGCATCACTTTATTCATCTCACACACACACCACACACAAACACGCGCACACATCATCTTTAATCTTATCACCAACATCATTAATTTTATCATCATTATCTTCCAGGCACACACGGACACCATTATTTATACATATCATCATTATCAACATTGGCATTTATATTCTGTTATTCATTCTTTATATTCATTTATCATCATAATTCACCGCCATCATCATCATCATCATCATCATCATCATTATGATCATCATCGTCATTGTTATCAGGAGCGCTATCAACCACAAAAACTGGAAAGTCATCAATATCATCTCGCACAAGCGAAAGACTCTTTAACACATCACATTCTTTTTATCTTCCCTCTCTCTCTCTCTCTCTCTCTCTCTCTCTCTCTCTACACTCTCTCTCTCTCCCTTGCATTCATCACATATACACAGCACTCATTCATTCATTCGTTCGTTCGTTCATTGGTTCATTCGTTCGTTTGTTCGTTCGTTCATTTACTCGTTAACAGTTTGTAATAATTACATTTTCACCATTTTTCGAATTTTTTAAAATAACGTCCATTGATTTTTAAGATGGAAAATCACGTGACGAGAACGATTCAAAATGGCAGCGCCGGTGGAACATTAACCTTGAGAAATGTCAGCCACTTGAACGAAGGTCAATACGTCTGCATGGTCGACACGCCCCAAGGTCGTCTGTTGACCTTCACCAACCTGATTGTGGAAAGTTAGTAATTATAACTATAATAATAATATTATTATTATTATTAATATAATTAACAACCTTGAAAGGGTGTTGTGGCTGCTGTGAAAATCAATTTCTTTTGAATTTTTTCATTACACTTAACTTAAAATTGATCCAACCCAATCATCTGACCACCGCGTATACACATTCACATTTCAGCAGCTCAATCTCGAGGACCGTCTGACGTCAGAGTGGTCGCTTCATCGACTTCTGCCGTTATTTTTTGGAGGCCGGCTTATAATGCCGGACGAGAAATACACTACACTATTTGGTTTGTGACAAGTGCATTGGTGACATTGTATAGCTGCTTGCTTTTTTGGTATTGCTGATAATTATCATAACTTTCATAATCATAAATGATATCTTCGTCATCTTCACCACAGATGATTTCTTCACCATTAATGATGAAGATGTCATCGGCGCCATCTTCTTTGTAGATCTTATTGATATTCTTACCACATTTAAAAGTTCTCTCGTGAATAAATAAAAAAAACAACATGGCGTGTGTTTATTTCATACAGGTTCAAAAAGATAAGAACGAAACAATTGAAAGATTACAACAAAGATGACGTAATCTATGACGATGATAATGACGTCATGAACGATGAGGAGAATGATGATGGCGTCATGAATGAGGATGACGAGGACGACGATGATGACGTCGTGAAGGATGGCGATGACGTCACACATAACGACGACGACGATGATGACGAGTCGTCGCTTCAGAAGCAACTTGTTCAACATCGCGAAACATCAACAACAAAGATTCGAAACTCCCACTCGCGTCATCAGCAGAACCAACAAAGATATCATCAAAAACAACAACGTCAACAACAACGTCAACAACAACTACTACTACAGCAACTACCACTACAACAACAACTACCTCTACAACAACAAAAACAACAACTAACATTACTACAGCAACTACCACTACAACAACAACTACCACTACAACAACAAAACAAAAACCGACAGAAACACGCAAAACGATCCTCTCTACATAAACAACAACATCACCATCAACCCCAAAAACATCATCATCATCGACACCACCAACAACCCAGAATCATCATCATCATCAGCGCCAACTACAACATCATCATCATCACCTGCAACAGGCTGATGATGATACAGTGGCTCAAAACGATGCAAATTACTCTAGTGAGAAATGCGATGATGTTAAAAGTGATAATGATGACGATGATGACGATGGTGATGGTGATGTTGATGGTGATGACAATGATGACGATGCTGATGATGATGTTGATAGTGATGACGATGATAATGGTGATGATGATGATGATGTTGATGATGATGATGGTGATTATTATGATGATGAAATTGCAGATAATGATGATGATATTAATAATAATGATAATGATTAAATTGCAGATAATGATTATGGCGATGACGACGAAGAGATAAATTATTCATCTAATGATGATGGTAGCGATTACAGAGATGACTTTTCTAATGAAAATGACGTCATAAATAATGGTAATGATGATGACGATGATGGCGATGATGATTATTATTATCATCATGAGTATTACCATACTGGAAACGGCAGAAATACCACACATCAAAACGTTGATTATGATCAGGACGACGACGTTGATGAAGATGATGATGATTATGACGCTCTAGAAGTAACAGCAGCAGCTACAACAACAACAACAACAACATCGCCGTCTAGAGATGAAAAACAGATTGATAGCCTAAAAAATGATGATGACGACGACGCCGATGATGATGATGATGATGAGGATGATGAGGAGAAGGAAAGTGATAATAGATCAAACAATGCACCCATGAAAGGTACTAAAAGCTGGGAAAAACGCAGAATTATTAAAGACAACGCTGGCGATGATGACGATGATAGTAGTGATGATTACACTGATGCAAGAGATGATGATGATGATGATGATGATGGTGGTGATCATGATGATGATAATGATGATGATGATGATGATGATGATGATAATAGTGATGATGATAATGATGATGATGGTGATTGTTGTGGTGATGCTGGTGATGATGACTACACAAATGCAAGAGATGGGGGTGAGAATGATGATGCTGACGAAAGTCATGATGATGACAAAACTAATGGCAATGTTAAAGGAAATGATAAAGACAAAGAAGATGATGACAATGACGATGATGATGACGTCACCGACAACTGGATTGTCGTTCAAGTGCCTAAAGTTTACTCCATGTCTTCCTCATCAACCTCACCACCATCATCATCACCGTCAGTCTCTTCTTCACCATCATCATCCCCGTCACCACCATCAACGCAGTTATCACTGACACCTATAACTTCGCCAAAGAAGTCAACATTATCATCATCGTCGTCGTCATCATCATCGTCATCATCGTCATCGTCATCCACATCACATACTTCACAACTATCGTCTGCATTAGTG